ACACGTGGCAGGAGGAGGCGGGGATCGAACCACCAACCTTATCATTAGGGGACGACCCGCTCTGCCTCTGAGCCACAGCTGCCTGTGAACCCTAAACACCAGCATCACTCGACTAGACTTCTCTCTCTCCCCGTCAGAGTTCCAGTTCAGTCTCTGAGTATACTGTTGAGCTATGGCAGTGGGTGGGGTGCAGTACCTTCACAGGAGCGTTTGTTCATGGGCTTGCTGCCTTTGTGAACGCAGCAGGGAAAGGCCTGCCTGTCTGTGCATTCCCACTTCCAGCCCAAATGAACTCTCTGTAGTAGTCCTGACAGCCCAACTGCCACCTGCCTGCCCCTCAGTTCTTCTACTCAATCCATCACTGAAGGGCCCATGAAATTTGGGCTGGCTTGTTTACTTGCAGGATGCTTTCTATTGCTCCTCTGTAAAAGCTAACATGAACTTGGCATGGGAATTTTGTGAAGAGTGAAAACATATTTTCATTGAGAAAAACCTTAAGGGCTATTTCTTCCTCAAAGGACACTGATAGGTCTGCTACCACTGTACGCCCAAAAATGTATAGGTGGAACCCTGGTAAAAATGGATTCTTGCATGACCTGTGATTTCCTGATGTCGCAAGTCCAGCTGCCTCGCAAGGTTACCCAAGATACCTTTGTGAAGTTAATGGGTACATAAATGCAGACAGAATGGGGGAAAGTGATTTCTGCCAAGCCGTCCAGAAAATGCATGGCACCATCTGCACCTTGTTGATGGTCACAACTCTCATCTACAACATTGACTTTTTGAATATGATGAGAGAGAACAACATCCATGTATTTAGCTTACCCCCTTACACAACTCATTATCTGCAGCCAGCAGAGAGAGCGCTCTTCCAGAGCTTAAAACACTACTGGAAGGATCACCAGACAGAGCAGAGGGTAACGACTTGACAGTGTATTGTTCATGCCACTGTTTTTTTAAAGCCTGGGTGAAAGCCGCTACACCATCGAATACCCAGCTTGGCTTCCTAGGAGTCAGGAATATAACTATTCAACCGAGCCAAGATCACTGAGAATCTTTTCATGCCATCTAAAACAACTGGAGAGATCCTGTCAAGAGACTCCAGTGGACCTTGCGCCAGAATTCCATGTCATCCTCAACTTGATGATGGTAATGATGATGACTCCATCCTGCCCTCTGTAGGACACACTCTCCACCCCACCTTCTTCTGTCCATCATTGTAAGCCCAGCACCTCTGGCAAAGGAAGTTGAAAGTGGCACAGCCAGAATTCTCCTTAAAATCTCTGATCAAACTTTGTCAAACCACCACCCAGAGGGCCAAACCCTGGCAGGATTGCACATTTAGCCTTGAGTGTGTGGTGGCTATTTGTTAAATAAAGCATACAGAGTATGATCTTGTCTTTCCGTAAAGTTGTATTCAAGTCATCCATGAATGGACTCAATGCAACCGTCACACACTCTCGTATGTGAAGACTCGAAGAAGTGAAGATCGAAAGATGTGGCACTAAGCTTACTGATATGTCCACCATATTAGTACAACGTCTACATTTTCTCTTTTGGTTTGATTTGGACAAATCCTGGGGGTTTGTATGTATGTACCTGAAAAGCAAATGATTTCCCATGTCCCATATTAGGCTAAACAATCTACCTCATTGAGTGTCCTTATGTTGATTGATTTGTGATTCATCTGCCCACCCATTGTTTCATCTATCTAATAAGATATCATGGACTTTTTTCTCCATTTAGTGTGCAGTGTGCTTTAACTCTCAAGCACCAGACATTGTACATTTATATAAGTAAAATGATGACACTATAATATACTTCTTTGTTACTCCAAACAAAAATCATGAAACTATGAATTGTTATATAGTCCATTATTGTGCAAATTGCAAATAATAATGTTTCTTGGACTGTTTTACATATATGTTAATAGGATACTTTGATTGGGTGGCATAGTGTATCAGGTGATTACGCAAAGATCCCTTGGACCTCTCTCTGTTTGGGTTCAGTTGCCTTATCTCTGAGGTTTTGGCATATATGACTTTGGGTTTATGATGACTGGTGACTTTTCTCAAGACCTGTACTGTTTTCCAGGCTCTAATGCCTCGTGTGTTATAGCACAGTTTGGTGTGGGGACCAAATTTGCCCTTTATTTGTTGTTTGCTTTGGGCATGCTGGTTACCATTTTGGGGAACTCTGTTATTGTGTCAATAAGTCATTTCAAGCAGCTGCATAATCCTACTAACATGCTTATTTTATCTCTTGCTCTAGTTGACCTACTAGTGGGTGTTATTGTTATGCCCTTCAGTGCCTTCTGGACCATTCATGGCTGCTGGTTCTATGGTGATGCATTCTGTCTGCTGCACTCCAGTTTTGATGTGTTTCTCACCACTCTTTCTATCTTCCACCTAATTTGCATTGCCGTAGACAGACAACAAGCAATTTGCAATCCTCTGCATTACTCTAGGAAAATCACAATGCCAGTGGCCTGGTTTATGATATGTGTTAGCTGGACACTGGCTGCTGTCTACTCTTATGGACTTTTCTCAAAGGCCAACATCTTTAACCCCCTTTGGGGAGTCTTGGACAGTGTTATCTGCTTTTTCTTTCCCTGCACTGTAATGGTTTGTCTGTACACTAAAATATTTATTGTGGTTAAAGAGGTTAAAGAGTTAAAGAGACATTTATAACACCCGCCTCACCAGCAAAGCCATCAGGATTGCAGGTGACCCCATCTCACAGCCTCTTCAGCCTGCTGGCGTCGGGGAGGAGACTGCGCAGTCTCCGGGCCAAAACCAGCAGGCTCAAGGACAGTTTCTTCCACCAGGCTGTCAGGAGACTCAACGGAGAGCCGCGCGGGCTGCTCACGTCACGCGGCGAGCCCACCTCCCCCCTTTGCCCCCTGCCACAAGACTAGGACTGCAACCCCCCTCCCCCAACCCCACCACTCCACACTCTCTGACTCAGGACTCCTACATTTCACTTTCCCCTTTTGCACTACACCACCACTACCGCACCTGTTTTAAAGACTTATATTATTTAATCCTATTATATTTTCGATCATATAAATACTCATTGTAAATACATCAAGGCGTGATTGCTGGAGTTGTTGATGGTTATTGTATCTTTTTGATTGTTATTTATATCTTCTATTTAATTTTTTTTTATTGCATGGTTGCACCGTGGTTGTCGTGCATGTATAGCATACTTGACAATAAAGTTGATTTGACTTGATTTATTTTAAGCTGAAATTCAGGTTCGGGTTGTGCCCAAAACTGCTTCCGTGGTTGGGCCTCGAGTCGGGATTCTTCATTCCTGCTATGAATACTGTATCTGTGTGAAATGAATACTAAATAATGAATACTTTATTTGCTGTGGTTATTACTGTTTGCCCCACCATGCACCATCCAGGCTATTAATATTTCCATTTTACAAATCCAAACCCAAGACCAATCCCAATTTTTAAGAACTCTCCTACGACAAATCAAAAACATCCAACCCTCCGTTGCTTTTAATTCATTCCTTCTCAGTTTCCTGATGTAAAGAAAACAGTATGCTACTTAAAAGCCTTAAAGCCTTATGAGCTGCGCTCATTATTACAAACCCCTTGATGTAGTATTTGAGGAATATTGTTGCATTTCTAACAAAATACTATAAGTTGCAAGATATCAGTGCCAACACTCTGGAGAACCTTCCTTGTTATAAATGAAAAATTGCTTCTATCAAGTGTCTTCAGACAGCTGCTTTATCATACCAATTCCCCAGGGATAGGATGCAACTCTAACCAACTTCCATCTCTAAAATTCATCTTCTCCCCATCACAGTGTTGCCCACAACAACCCAACCTGGAGAAACAATGACTTGTGGAACGGCCCAACACCACCTGTAAATTCTTAGTCATGCATCTGTGCAGTAATATGGCCCTGAGTGTTATTTGATAGCTGGGTTCTTTGGGGAGTCACCAGGCTCTGTCAGAGGTATTTCACAGCTCCTCCATAGAAGTGAAGGCTAATGGGACCCTGGCCTAACGCTCCACCGTCTGGTTCAAGAGGTCAGCCACACCGTTCCATCCCGAGGTCATAGCATGCTCTATACAGCGCATGCCATTGAAATCTGAAGTTTTGGTGGATGCTTTTATCTAAAGTGGCTTACAGCAATTCAATTCAGTTTTATCTATATAGCACCAAGCCATAAAAGATGTTATCTCAGGACACTTTTCATATAGAGAAGGCCTTAGAACCATAGAACTTACATCTCCGTAGAACCAGCAGCATGAGTAATACAATTTAAAAAAACACAATAAAAAATAGGGAAATACAACAACAAATCAAAACACAATTAATAAAAGAGAAAACACGACAATAGATCAGAAATCACATAGTCAAAGCAGAAACCACAACAGTACTTTTTAACAGGAAACCTAAAAAGACCAACAGTTCGTCTGTCCAAACAGAGACGATTCTCTTGTTGTTGTGTTTTTTCTTTTGTTAATTTGATTCGCAATTTTTTTTTTTCTATTTTTAATTTAGGGTTGTGTTTTTCTTTGTTTTTGTGATTAGCTCTTTACGGCCAGCGTACTGTAGAGCTATGCTGTTCCACACTGAGCGACACAAGACCACAAGTATGCCCACAGCCAAGAGGGGAAGAAGAGCTGATAAATGTTTCAATGTCATGGAGATTTGAGGAAAACCTAAATAAATACAGCACGTTTGTATCTGACAGCCTGCATCCAGATGTCTGAGAAACTCCTGTGTTTATGGAAAAAAGTCACTCACAAGGGAACCTAGGTAGCTTTCTCGACATTGCTAATGGTGTTGCCATAGCACCAGGAGAAGATGGTTTAGCTAAGCAGATTTTCGAGGTGTGGAAATAGTTTGACCTCCCGTCATCTCTGGTTTGTTCCATTCCCACAGGCCGCTGGCTGTGTACATCTGTTTCAAAGTGCGCGTCTGTGTGTCTTTGCGAGGACTAATGAAGGACATTATGAGAATGTGTGTATTCACCGCATCAGCAGGGGGAAGTTGAACCACCAGATGAGGTCTGGAAGTGAGCTCAGGCCACCAGAATGTGGGTTACATTGTTAAAACACCACATAAAAAGAGCTGCTCTGGGTTTTGTGGGAATCTGTGATTTTTTTTCCTCCACTGTAGGAGTTTTCCAACCATGGGCCCCATGTTAAT